GCTAGGATCTTTGAGTGGAAGTTCTTGGTATTGTTTTTCTTCACCATGTACTCGTCTATGGGCAGCCTCGCCGTGAGGACGCTCAGTTCTCTGGCTCTCGTGAAGCTCAACTTCTGAAAGGGAGAGGCTCAAAAAGTTGGTAGAAATCCAATATATCACATCTCACATGTGCACTGATACAATCTCCCCTTGCTGCAGTGATAGCATTGTGAGAAGTACAAGAGCTACAAGATTTGAGCAGAACAGAATACTGATTAAAAAAGGAAAACTAATCGATGATTGTTACGGCCCTGGCCGTATTATTAGTATTATGTTATGGTATTGGTTCCGTCTGTGGTGTGTGTTGGTGTTTTTTTGTCCCTGTTCCTGTGCAGGAGTGTGCAGCCTGTCGATTGTTGATCTTTGATGGCAACCCGTAGGTCAGCGCTGACTGGTCCATGCCGTGGGATCGGCTGGTGGAGTGTCGCCTGCTGGTTGGTTCTCCCAGGGAGCCGCAACATCCGCCGGGGATTCAAAACGCCGCACCACACCAATTGTTACGACCTTAGTAGATAGTGTTTTTGTATGATTGTGTTTAGTGAGTATCGTAAGGGTGAGCTGCCATTTTCTTTGTACTACTTTTCTCCTGTTTTTCATTAGGATAGGGAGTTAGGTTTAGTAACTGTATTTTATTTATATTGCATAGGGATTAGTAAGGATTTTTGTTTAAGGAAGTTAGCCCTGTTTTGTTTGTTGTTTTGGCCTTGGTTCACCCTGAAGTTTGTTGTTTAGTTTTTGTTGCACTTTGTTTCACCTGTTTGTAAATAAATCACATCACTTGATTGTTAACACTGTGTTAGTTGTTCGTTTGGGAATCGGGGTAGGATTATTGGTTCATTTTCATCACACATTTATGTGGCGCTCCTTCCCCCTAGACAGGGGCGTAACAATGATAATGAATCAGTTGCTGCAGTTATAATCCGTTTGAATGTGTAATACCTTCTGGATGCTCTCATCCACAAGGCCACCGAGGATGTACACCTTGTCAGCATCTACTGTCTCCAAAGCTGAAATAAAAGAAATTTAAAAAAATTGTATTTTCATTAAGATTTTTTATTAACTTTACATTATCTTTGTGTTTTACTAGGTGTAAACTAATAAAGTAGTGCAAGTTGCAGTGGCAGTACTGTGTGATCAGATAGTTAGAATACACCCTCTGCTGGCCAAAAGAAACATTTCAACTAAAAACTTTTTATACACACTGTATCTATGAAATTGTACTCTGAAAAGTTAATCTCCTCTGCACTAAGATAGACATTTTATTCATAAATGCTGTTGAGACAAATCAAACCTTCTTCAGCATCCGGTGTGAGGTAGACAACGGCCTCTGGAGGGAAAAGGTCCAGACAGCTTTCTTCTGTTATGTCCATCTAAAAAAATGGAAAATAGTCTGTTGGTAAATATTCAAACTATTTCTGGTCCAGATAACAGAGGGAGAGAGTGAAACTAGTGACGAAACTATAAACGTGTGAGTGTCCTGTAGTGTGTGAGTCCAAAAAATAGATTAAAGAACAATTTTTGAGGCCTTGTTGTCAGGTTCAGTTGTTTCAGCTGGAGGATACAGCTTATTTTATCTATTTTGTTTTAGGCTAAAAAAACTTACCAAATACGGGTCATTTATAAAGCTTTAAACTATGAAAAAAATAAGATTTCCTACTTTATCTTTCCTTTAAAATGTCGTGATATAGTGAATTCAGGATGTGAAAAACCACCGTGTAGTTGAGGAAGCCGTCGTTCATTCGGATGCACTCCCTGTAGAGACGACTGTCCTCTCTCAGGTCCGTCAGGAAAAGGTGAAACGGTCGAGTCGCCTTCTTGTTCGACCCGTACAGCCTTCTCAACTGGCCAGCCAGTCGACTCACCTCCTGAACCAAACACACACCACACACACACACACACACACACACACACACACACACAGTTAATGAAGACACAGGCAAATGTCTCTCACTGTTTGAAAGAGAAACAGCTGTGTTGAGGCTCCTACCTTATCAGACATGCTGTCTGTCATACTCAGGTCAACGCAGAGTTTGAGCCCTGTGGACTGAGCCTCGGCTAAACGCTCTTTGGTGATCGCTTTCATGACCCGTTTGGTAAACTGAGGATTACCTGTGCTCGCACCTGTGTGACAGTAACACCGGACAGACGTGTGTTCAGGTTATAGGAGCTTTAGATTTAAATGACTTTCACCTACAAAAACAACACCAGTCTCTTATTTACCTGAGTCCTGCTCACGGTTGAGCTTTTTCTTCTGCTTCTCTTCTCGTCTTTTGCTTTTCTTTGCTGCCAGCTGTCGTTCCCAGTTGCGCTGCTTCCTCAACACATTCTTCTGTTCAGTAAGCAGAAAACAACAACAACAATTAACAGCACAGGACAACTCAGGATGTCCACAGATTTATACAAGACACTACCTTAAAATATTGCTTTATTCATTCAGCAAGTAAAAAGCTCCATCGGTTTAGTATATCTTTAAATAATTAGTATTTCAAATGAAGCCAAAGTAAACAAACTCACTGAGTATGCTGCATGTTGTCTCCCTGGTCTGTCCTCCACATCAGTGTCCACGTCTATCTGAAGCAGATCCATCACATCTGAAACTCCCTTCAGCTGCATTTCACACACACCTGAGCCAATATCTTCCATTTCACTCTGCTGTTCTCCTCTTATTATATATATATATATAAATATATATATAGATGTTATTACTTGAGGTCGTTGAGGGCTAAACAAAGACCGCCGGGTGAGAGTAAATCAAACTTTAACAGCCAATAAGTCATATTTGTGTTATCTACGTAACACAAGGTGTTTTATAAATCACAGCCCTTTTCTTAAATTCACTCAGTAACACATTTAAAGACAATATCTGATGAAGAAAGAGAGAAAACGCACGCTAAAACGGTGCCACTTCCTAGTCGCATGTGAACGACGTCAGAGTAAACAAAAGAGGAGGTGGGCGGAGACAAGAAGAAATAAATAGAGAAAAATAAACAATAGGACTCCACTGTTGACTGTTTATGTAAGTTCAGGACTCCATTAATAAAGCCAGCTCCATTCAGACAGACGTTTAGGATGTATCTGGTATTTTGTGGTGTGTGTGTCTCTGGCAGTGAGACAGTTTACATTTCCACTAACACACCAGGAGAGGGCAGTGTAATAATACCAATATAACTCCATAATTACAGGTAACTTTAATGTTTAATACACCTTATGAGACTATATATTCATCAATTATTGAATCCCAGAGGTTTGTTTCTGTTCACGGCTTCATACCACCAAAGAATAAAAAGAGACAAACTCTCCTCTTCTTGTGTATTTGTGTATTGCTCCTATAATATATGATAAAGCTTTATTTACTCAACAGTACAAGGACAGCCTACAAATAACAAGTTAAAATAAATAAAACAATAGGAGGTATATAAAACTAAAATAAGAATACAATAAAAACACAACCACAAAATACAACTAACAATACAATACGACATATACTATTGCTGTAACTTGTTAAACAAATCAGTTATAAATAAAATACAACTTTATAAACTTCATTAAACTTTCTCTTCTGACATTAATTACGCATGCGCAATGGGGCGCGATGCCTTTATACCTTAGTGACGCTGCTGGTGGTGAGTTAAAATCCGTTTTCTTTATTCTTTTACACATTTTGCGTGAATACAAGATGAAAACGTATGAAAAGTGATTAACTGTTATGCATAATAAATTGTACAATCGTTGGATTATTAAACACACCACAAAGTCATTATTGAAGGCGATGAAGAGAAATGCTGTTCAGATCAGTCTTTTTAAGCTACTGTTTTAACCAAGGTGTCAGAGTTTATTAAAATAAAATAACCTTTTTCCATCTGGGAACAGTTATAAGAATTCAAATTGTATCGGTGTCTCTGCAGCAAGTATTTAAAGTTACCACCTAACACTTAATTGTTTTGTTATAACAAAAAAAATCTACATAGGTTTAAATGTTTTGTTTTAGTTTGACAATTGTTGTTTCTTTTATATTTATTATTATATTATTATTTATATTTTGCGATGCACCGGAACCATGTGTGTTACCTCATTTGTCGCCGGAATCCACAAATCGGTGCACACTGCAACTGTTACCCATCTAGCTTTTCTAAACATTAAACGTAACTTTTATCGTCTTTTCCACCGTCACATTATTTCTACCTCCGGTTATTTTACACTATTTGACAGCGGCCGTCGACCACCGTACACGTCCGGTTGTTGATTAACGCCTCGGCTCTAAAAACAACAGTTACACCTCTGTTGTTGTTGTTGTTGTTGTTAGCATTTGAAGCTAACACGCTGACACGCGGCACCGCGGCAGCCAATGAGAGGCATATGCCCACCGCACGGCATTGTGGGTATTAAAAATAAAGCTAATTTATCCATTATTTTACAGTTTATTGAGGTTTTTATGGTGCGAACAGCTGTCGGATACAGGTAGCGCTTTGTTTTGTGATCAGAACTGTGTTAAAGTGTATGTTTGGAAAAAAATATTATAATTAAAATGTGTTTTTAAATGTCGTTATATCGTGTTAACAAACACAGATATAATGTACGTATTGTGGGTTTTATCCGGTGCAGTCCACCAGTTCGCTGTTTAGATGTTGTTGGTAATAATTCCCGCTTTCTAAAGATCTGGTGCGGTGTTTGGGTATCAGCACCGTGACCGAGAAAGGCGTGTTGGTCGTACGAGTAGTTGGAGCAGAGCAGATATTCGTTAAGACTATACTTTCAGGGATCATTTCTATAGTTTCTGACTTGAGAAATGTGTTTCTAAAGAGTTTGGTCTCGCTAACCACGATGAAGAGTCAGTGATACTTCTTCCTGAGCGCGAAGCGGGCGGAGAGACTTGATTTAGTTCATATGCTCTCTGCTTTTGATGACCGTTCACTGTTTCCTCTGGAGACAATGAGGTCAAGTCTACGGTGGTGCAAAAGTCTACGGTCACCGTAGACAGTTCCGCCTTCTGGTTGGTCAATTCTCACCGTAGACTACCAATCATATCGTCTCCCGGCGTCATGTGACTGACCGTAGACAGTTACGGCTTCTGATTGGCCCAGAGTCTACGCTCGGTTACTCTATGCAGATTAGTATTTTCCTCCGGCGAGCATACAGTATTGGTAAGACTGAATTAATAAACTAATGTGTTATTACACTCGCTCACTACTCACTGCGCCTCATACGTACATAAATTAATTTATTGTAACACTATTTATATTGAGCATTGTCTTTATCGGTAGACGGGACGTAGCGTTAATGTTAGCATTAGCGCCTAGTGTAAATAAATATTTATTATGTGTATGTATGTATGAATGTATGTATGTATGTATGTATCAATGACCTGTTGTAACCAATGTTCATTGTTATATTAGTAATTGATAATAACAATAATAATATTATAATAATAATCAATCTCAATCAATCAATCAATCAATCTTTGTATAGCACCAAATCACAACAAAGTCATCTCAAGGCACATTGAGCAGATCTAGACCATACTCTTCAGGTTTAAATAATATAACAACAACAACAACAACAACAACAATAATAACACGTCTGTCTTTGTTGTTGTTTTTGTTGCTTTGCTGTATCTATAAGTGTATTTCAGTATCTCCAGAAGAGAGATGGCGACCCCACCACAGATCAAGGTCGTCAACCCAGCAGCCCCTGCACATCGCCAACAGGCTGCACTGACGGCGACCAGAGAGGCCCGTAGTTATCGGGATAAGAAGGTGGTCTTCCCCAAACCTCCACAGGAGCTGCTCTTCCAGGCAACAGCCCTGGCCCACACAGAGAAGCTCCTTCAGGCCGAGGGTATCCCTGTGCCATCCCGTCAGCTGTGCCTGGGAAAGCTGGTGGTGCCATTTGGCCAATACCAAAATGCACCATTCCACTGGCTTGTGGCAAATGATGTGGGCTACATGAAGTAGTAAGCATGTTATATTTAATACCATTGTAGACAATTGCACAAACTGTGGCTATTATTGGTGTTTATTATTCATCTTTTCAAAGTTTAGTTGCTCATTATCACAACTGCAATGATATTGATGTCAGTACTGAGTTGGTGTTTATCCTTACAGTGTGATTGACAAGCACAGGTTAGAGGTAACAAACCCCCAGAGAAAGGGAGAGATTGGGAACCAGTGGGTGAAAGATTACCTCACAGAATATGCGGAAAGCTTCCCACAAGTCTCCAATCTCCTCGAGGCCAACGTCGACAGGTGTATCTACGGCCAGAAAGGGTTCGAGGATCACACCTTTCAGGAGATGTGGGAACTCTACCGGCAGCACCACGCCATAAAGAACAGGCCAGAGGAGTTTAGAGATGAGCAGCGGGAGCTTATAAAGAAGGCAAACAGTTCTGTAAGGAGATGGCTTAACACACCAGTGACACACATCACCAGCGCGCAGATGAAAAGATTCAGAAAATATGTCAACGAGAAAGATCAAGTGAGTACTGGCTTGATTATTTGTTAGAAACAGGATTGAAATTGTTCGGATTAGTGACATTTTAAGCACTTGACCTAAATGTGCTTGTTTACGTTTGATAATTAAAAACTGGTACATCATAACATCTAGATAATTCATTTACCTCTTTTATTCCAGCAACTGCATGCCAGCACCTCCAAGTGTGATCCTTCATCATGGCCAGGTGATGAAGCTGAACTGGTGGCTGCAAGTCAGGCTGTGGAAGGTGAGATACAGAGTTAATACACATCAAATGGTTTGGGGGGGAAAAAAATCACAATATAAATAATACTACTTTGTTTGGTCTTATTTTTTAGACTTGCTCAAGACCCCTGTTCAGACTAAACTGCCTGCATCCGCTGTCCGCTCTACTCTGCCTGCTGCTGCTGCTGCTGCTGCTGCTGCTGCTGCTGTCCAGCCAACACTGCCTGCACATGCTGTCCACTCTAAACAGCCTGCTGCTGCTGCTGCTGCTGCTGCTGCTGCTGTCGTCCAGCCAACACTGCCTGCACAAGCTGTCCGCTCTACTCTGCCTGCTGCTGCTGCTGCTGCTGCTGTCCAGCCAACACTGCCTGCACATGCTGTCCACTCTAAACAGCCTGCTGCTGCTGCTGCTGCTGCTGCTGCTGCTGCTGCTGCTGTCGTCCAGCCAACACTGCCTGCACATGCTGTCCGCTCTAAACAGCCTGCTGCTGCTGTCCAGCCAACACTGCCTGCACCCGCTGTCCGCTCTAAACAGCCTGCTGCTGCTGTCCACTCTTCTCTGCCTGCTGCTGCTGCTGTCCGTACTGCACAGTCCACTAGCCAGCCAGCCAGTCATGATCTCCTCTTGGAATCCCCTCTCACTGACTCCCCTGTAAGTGATATTCACATTATATGCAAAGAATGTTAATTGGTTTAACATGTTTTGTAACTGCTTGTATATTCTAACATTACTTTGTACACAGCAATAACCAAATGCTTTGTATGTAT